TCCTCCCTCTTACGCAGTCTACTTTGTAGCTGTTCAAATCGGCGTAAAATACGTCTGTTCTGGGCTCTTGAAAAATCCACAACACCTATTGTGTCTTCTGTTTCTGGCTCAGGGAGACCATCAGAGGGGGAAGAGGCAGTTTGCTCTGCCTCCTTCTGAGTAGAACTTGCAGTTTCCTCTTTCTCATGACTCTCTGTCTCTGATAAAGGTCCAGGCGTTTGCTCAACATGCTGGGGCTCAGAGGAAGACGCAGTAGCTGGCTCAGCCGTCCCTGCATTGGGTTGTGGGGTCGACTCTTGGGCACTGGGTGCCAAGTGCAAGGTCTCCTCGTGAGTCACTGTTTCTGTTGAAGCTTCATGCACGACAGTAGCCTCCTCATATAGCTTTGATCCAATTGCACTTGATCACACTGAAATGCATATAATATTTACTATATCTCTTGGGCTGTGGTGTGATTCCAAAGTAGTCCCAAACTCCTGTACAGGGGTTACAAAGTTGTACCCCTAGTTGTACCCCTACTGTATCCCTTTCAGGGTTCTCCTGAAAGGAGTGGTGAGCCAAACAAGGTGACAGCTATTTCTCAGACCATCTCAATGAACACCTGTTTTCCTCTGCAGAGGAGGGCAGGACACATTCTAATGGAGCACAGCTCTGGGAACCAAGGTTCAATTTGGATGCCAGGAAGTACTTCCTGACAATTAGGGCCACAATGGGCCTCTATGGGAAGTGGTTGAAGCCCCAGTGGTGTGGGTGTTCAAGGACAGGCTGAACATGCACATGGTAGGCATGTCATGAATAGAGCCAGCTGAAGCCAGGGGTCAGACTAGATGGCCATCCATCAGACAGTACATTGGTCTATCCTAAAACTCCTCTATTTCTTAACCAGGATATCATGTAGCACTTTGGCAAAGGCCTTGCTGTAATCCAGATAAACCGCATTCACTGTGTCCCCTTTCTAGCCATCTCAAAACCTTGTCATAGAATTCTACAAGGTATATCTGGCAGGACCTTTTTTGGTGGGGGGGGGTGCCACATTGCATGGCCACCAACCTCCCTTCCCTCTCGGGTTACTAGATCTCTTGCTATTATGAGCCTTTGCATTTTCCTTCCTAGAATGGACATAAGGCTAACCAATCTGAAATTCCCCATGTCCCCTCTACTACCCTTTCACAACCCTTTCTGAGTATGGCTGTATTACACTGTTACTGTTTTAAGAACCTTGGGTTCATGTATTATGTAGCAATACAATTTTAGATACTGACCTTAATGCTCTTACAGTCCACCTCTTTTCTTATTTTAACCATGGAGCACACTGTGGTGTGACAGGATCATAGACATGTTTATTCATATTTGTTCCAAAACAATATAATAAATATTATATGATATCATGATGTTAGATGATATCCCTTAAACCAGTCTCACCTGATGGACTATGTTGCAAAACTTTTCAGCCCAAAGAGTTTTTGTTTATTTTTATTTATTTATTTTATTTATTAAAACATTTCTATGCTGCCCCATTCACCAAAGCCTCGGGGCAGCTCACAACACACAGTAAAATACAAAAGATAACAATATAAAAATAACAATTAAAAATAAATAATATAAAAGAAGTCGCCCTGGCCAGATAAAATAAGCAAATACTGTTAACAATTAAAATAATGCTTAAATAAAAAGGTCTTCACCTGGCGCCGAAAAACAAGTAACGATGGCGCCAGGCAGACCTCTCTGGGGAGCGCATTCCATAGATTGGGCACCACTGCAGAGAAAGCCCTCCTCCGAGTACCTACCTCCTAATTTCTTTCTGTTTCATATGCAGAAAAGTCAAAGGGAAATCAATAACACCACACAGGGTAGCCCGCTGGATAGCTATCAAACTAGCCTACCAAATAGCCAGAATGGCAATCTCATAACAACCAAAAGCCGACTCAACCAGAGCAATGGCAACATCTGCAGCATTATGTGCCGGTATCCCAGTGGAGGACGTACCCAAAGTAGCAGCATGGCCCAACCCATCTACATTTGTCCAGCACTACCAGCTTGATGTTCAAGAAAGACAGGACTTTTTTTTTTTGGATGGGTGATTTTGTCAGCAGTCTTTTGATGATGACTCCACCCCACGACCATTCCAAGATTGCTAATTGACCATGTGTGTGATGCACAGAGACCACAAAGAAGAAAGTAAGTTTGCTTCCCTGTAGCACTGTGAGTGGTCATCTGTGCATTCACACAACCCACCCACCAGCTGTTCATCAGTGTCACATGCAGTACAAATCACTTACCGCAACATCCATGCTCTCGCTCCAAGGCCCAGCCAAAAGTGTCACAAGAACTGGAGAAAACTGTGGAAACCCTACCTTTATATAGTATCAGGGAAGCGGGGGACAGGACTCTGGTCAAAATGCCTAGCTAGAGAATCTCTGTTATCCAACAACAGGCCCTGCACAGGTGCAGAGCCCATATGTGTGAATGCACAGATGACCACTTGAAGAACATTGGTTACAGGTAAACAACTTTTTCATGCATGTGTGTGTGTGTCTGTGTGTTAGTGTTGTTTTTCTATGGCTAACTTTGCATGAAATTATGGAAATTTTTAAAATGGTCTGCAAACAATGGAATTTGTCTGAGCCTTTTAAAGCTGCCTGTGTTAGTGGCAAATTCCATATTTTAATTATGCCCTGTATGACATTTCTGAATTGTCAGCCAATCAGTTTAATAGAATGACCATGAGTATAATAGAAAAGGAGAAAATGTCAGTCCCAATCTGCTTTCTCCATACCATACATAATTTTCTGCAGTTGTATAAAATCCCCTTTACTTGTTCTTTTTTGCTTTCCCTAATCTAAAGGTCCTTTTAAAGTCTGTCATTCTATATACACATTTGTATACTAAACAACATCATCAAAGAGATGAACATAATATAAGATTGTTGATCTTTTTAAATGTAATTATTACTAAGAAGGTTGATGTAAAACAAATTTGTTGAAGCTTTTGTCGAAAAATTCCTTCTAAGTTTTGACCAACATAGTGAGAGATATAGAAATTCACTTTCTGAAGAAACTCCGATAGTAAGGAACACACCCTTATTTCTATAGCCAGCTCTGATGCTAAAGCATCCCATAATTCAAGGAAGCCAATAATATATAAGAGGCTGGGTGAGTGAAATCGTGAGATTCCTTGGGCCTGAAAGGCAGAGTGTGGAGGCAGGGAAGATCATGTAGCAGGCCACTGGTGGAAACACATGCACAAGGGAAGTTGGATGTTTAATGTTTTAACGGCCAGACAGTGTCTTACCAGTAGGGAAAGAGTCATAACAACATACAAGTCATAAGTCTTTTCAGTCTTGAATGTGTGAAGGATTAAAATCAGCACAGGGGTAGAACTATGTATGACAGCCCTGCCTTCTATATATCCAGGAGTGCCAACCTCACCACTCTCACTTCAGACTTTTGATACTGAACTGGCAAGGTCTCAAAGGACATTCGAATCATGTTCTTCTGAGCACAGACAGAACAGTAATGTTTATGTGTGCATGCACATGCAATTGCTTACATGTGTGAACTAAGAGTGAGTGGCAATTTTATTGGATTCTTTCTGTTATTATTTTTGCAAAATTCTTTATAAACAGGTTGGAAAGAGTGTATGTGAATACAGGAAAATATATAGCTCTTTGTGCTGAAATATCTACCAATATCAATATCTACTGATATCTACAATAACTGCTGAAGTCGATACATCAACATTTACTGATTTTGTTCAATGCAGTTGGGTGAGGAACTGAATTGAATTTTGTCCAATTTTCAATAACAACAGAATTCATGAATATATTCTTATGTGTAACAAAAAGAAATACAATTCTTCTTTGTAATAATAGTTTATACACTGGATTAGCTCACATCTGGATATCAAGGTAAAGTGCACCTCATGTGAGATCTATTTTTCCTAAACTCCTTTAAGTGTGCAAGCAATAATTATCATAATCCACTCTTGTTTCTGTGAAATTACTAGTCTCATCTGTTGGAAATATATAGTTATTAATGAGGAAATGTTGCTGTAAATAAAAAAGAGTTTGTGGTACAAGTTTCTTTGTGTTCTGACAGAGTAATTGATCACCCCTTCTTCAGTTCCCTGGCTAGTTCTCCAACTACATCAATAAATACCCTCAAAGATGCTGATGGTCTTCTTGAAATATTTCTTTTAACATTTCTTGCATGTTTTGCCCAAACATTTCCTTCCAAATCATCTCAAAATGTCACTTCAGGCAAAATTCAGTGTCAACTGTAATGGACAAATTATACATGGAATGCAAACATGGTTTCTGCAAAAACAGGTCCAGACAGACAAACCGTGTGGAATTCTATGACAAGGTTTTGAGGTGGCTAGACGGAGGGGATGTGGTGGATGTGGTTTACCTGGCTTTCAGCAAGGCCTTTTGGAATAGACCAATGCACCAATGGATTAGGGCATGGCTGACAGACCAAAAACAGAATGTTACTTTTAGTGGAGAATCATCAGGATGGCAGACGGTGATGAGTGGGATCCCTCAGGACTCATTCCTGGGACCAATCCTGAAAATCCCTTTTCATCAATGACCTGGAGGAGGGGGTGACAAGTCTACTGGACAAATTTGTAGATGATACTAAAATGGGGGGAGGTGGCTACTACTGAGGAGCAGGTACTCTGGTTCCAAAAGGATCTGGACAGACTATGGAAGTGGACATAAGACAACAGCATGGTGTTCAATGTGGATAAGTGCAAGGTCTAGCACTTGAAGCCTAAGAAAGGGAGTCATGAGTACAGTTAGGGGACAAGTGGCTGGAGAACAACACTTGTGAAAGGGACCTCGGGGTACTGGTTGACTGCAGGCTAAACATGAGTCAGCAGTGTGATGTGATGGCCAAGAGAGCCAACACCACCCTTGGATATATAGCCAGAAGTGTGGCTTCTAGATCGAGAGAAATATTTCTATCACTCTATACAACTCTTGTGTGCCCAGTTTGGAGTATTGTGTTCAGTTCTGGGCTCCTCATTACAAGAGGGATGTGACAAGGTTGGAATCAGTGCAGTGAAGGGCCACAAGGATGGTGGCTGGTTTGCAGTGTAAGCTATATGAGGAGAGACTGAGGGAGCTGCATCTTTTCAACCTTGAGGAGATGATACTCAGCAGGGACCTGTTAGCGACATACAGGTACATGAGGGGATGCCACACAGACATTGGTCACAACCTTTTTCCCTCTGCAGTGGAGGGTAGGACGAGTTCCAATGGAGCAAAGCTCAAGGAACCAAGATTTAGGGTGGATGCCAGGAAGCTTATACTGTTAACTTGTTTTATATTGTTAATTTATAGTATTTTAATTGATCTATTTGTAAGCTGCCCCGAGGCTTCGGTGAATGGGGCGGCATAGAAATTTTCTAAATAAATAAATACATACATACATACTTCTGGATGGTTGGGACCCTTAGGGTATAGAATGGGCTTCCACAGGAGGTGGTTGAAGCCCCATCGGTGAGGGTGTTCAAGGACAGGCTGGACATGCACATGGTAGGCATGGCATGAGCAAAGCTGGCTGGATCCAGGGGTCAGACTGAATGGGCCAGGAAGCCCCTTCTGACTCCTGGATTTTTATTTTTCCAAAATAAGTAGATTGAATGGTTGGAAAATTCTAATTTTTGAAGTGTATATGAGAAAAGCAGCAAGAAAAGGTTGTTAATCTAACCCTAGATAATTTTCCTGCTCCAAATTAGCTCCAAGCATCTCTTCTTCTCTGTATGAATTGCATTCCTACTCATAATAATAATTCTCAGAAGAAGCTTTGAATAAACATGCATTTAAGGTGGTTAACTCATCATCCCCACTGCCCACCGCTGCCTGTTATGTCAGCCATAATCACACTCTCTCAAAGTTGCTCTTTCACTTAGTTAAAAAAGGGGAGTAGTTTGACTAACACCGTCCACGTTAGTATGTAATGTGTTATTTGGAATCAAGAGCATTGCAATTATACTGAAGCCTGCAGTTTCAAGAAATTCTTAGTCCTTGATAATGGAAAGGAGGAGTGTGCCTTTGGGGCAGGAGCCAATACCAAACCAGGGTACTGTAGTTTAATCAAAGACTATTGATTCTATTCTGTAGCAGAGCAAACACTTTGAGGGAATTCTCTTTACTTTTTGATAGGGTAAAGTCATTACAGCCTGCCAGTTTCATGTTGTGAATGTTCTTAATGAGTCCCAGTGTAGCGATGGTGTCTATGTATCTCACAAACACATACACAGGTAACAGGGAGTTAGTTGTCAAGCTTTCCCTGATAGGCTTGTAAAAAGAAATGCATTTCTTCTGAATGTACAGTATATGTAAGCATTTCCAAGAAAAGTCACCTTATAAAATATCTATTTTATGACTTTACAAAGTACAGGCATAACATTTAAATCAGCCCTCCAACATACAGCATCTTGGGGAGCCTTGGAAAGAAATCCTATGCCGTATTATATGCTAGACATTTTTGTACAGAAGAAATTGCTTATGCTATTAGTGGCTGGAAATAACATTTGTTTTGTTTGTTTCTCTCAGTTTCTTATTTTTTCCAATCTTAGAGTTGGTTTGCTCAGAATTATCAGGATTTAAATAATAATGAGAGGGAGGAAAGCACAAAAATGAATTTGTGTATTTCTCTTAATATATGTATATTACATTTATTATTGCAATGATCACCCAGAAAGCATGGTGCTAGTGAGTGGCTGTCAAATAAATAAAATAAACAAACATTGTAAAATATGTAGTACCTACCTATTGTAAAATTAGATACAATGGCATTAAAATGTGAATCCATTTATTTCCCATTGGTATTTGTTACTACCTTGAAATTTACCATCCCCCAAATTTTAATTTCCAATAGTACTTAAGTGCATGTTCAGATTTCTAATTTTATGTCTGCGGTTAGAATCAGTGTGGTCCATAACTAGTTGACTTTGATCAGACAAGGTCTCCATGTTATATGGCTTTTCCATCCCACCTCAAGTTGGAGAATTTGCTAAATTTCCTATCAAAACTGGAAACAGAAAGATTAACTTGCCTTCCTGGGCTTTTCTCCAGTTTACAATTTACAAAGCACATGCTGCAGTACAGATGTTAGTTTGCAGGTTATTTGCAAACTGCCAGTTGGGTAGCAAATCAAGTTATGCCAATAAAGTGATCAGCAGTTCCCCTTCCTTGTCATTTGATAATTTTGAATCTTTGATTGTAGGCAGATTTTGTTTGGGAAGGCATAATCTGTCTAGGCTGGCAACAATAATTATCCTAAGGTTAGATAAGAGTAATTAAAGCAATTTTAATTGTTACATTACTGTTAAAATTTGACTGTGAATAATGAATATGTTTCTGTTATTGGCTTTAAGCCAAAAATTCCTTTCACTTTGGACTTTTTATTAAAATAGGTCATTGATATCTGGAGGTGAGACAGTAAAAGCTATCTGGGTATTCCCTCAAGTAATAACATATGGAGTCTGCATCCAAGCAGCTGACTGATGTTTATTTAAAACATTCTGCTGAACTAATCCATTATACATTGCTTCCATTTTATGCTTTGATTTTTTATCCAACAGTGCACAATTATTTATACATTATTTAAAACAAATAAGCTACCTGACTCTAATGCAGAGCATTTCTATGATGTGCAGCTAAATGAAGGCTGAAGTTGTTTCATGTGCTGAAGTTCTACAGAATGTCATTGAGCTGGAGTTGCTCTTGGGCTTGGTGTTCAGGGCAAAATTCTAGTCGGGAAATACATCCACAATATGAAAACCCTTGGCCTATTTTGGAAGGGCCCCCCCCCCCCCCCCAATTTGGATACAGTGAAATTGGCTATGAGCTAACCCTGCCATGAGCCACTCCTCATCTGTCAACCTCCACATTCACCAGAAGTGGCCTTGAGGGGTCCCTCCTGCACTGGAAATGACTGGACATGCATAGCATTTCACTAAGGTCCATAGGATCTGCAATTTCTTTGCCTCATGTACAAATTTCAGAGGAAGAAATATTACAGTGCCCATTATTTGCAGAATGTGAGGTTTGTTGTTTCCTCTGCTTCCTGGATCTAAACAAAACCAGCGATACACTTATTCCAAAGAAGGAGATTATATTCTTGAGCATGCACTGGAATTGCATCCCCTGCTAACACCAGTTACCATTATTTAGTGAAGCATCTGTATATATAACGAATTGATTTTGTTGGGGAAGTGGAAAGGGAAAGGGGTGAATTTAATATGCTTTAACCAAAACTTACACAAAATATATAATGCATACTATAAAATGCACGCTAGACAATTTTAGAGCAAAAACCCTAAATATGGAGCAAAAGGAAAAGGGGAAACTGATGTACAAGCTAATAAGTATAACTTTCATAGGTAAAACCAATGCAATTTCTCATAACCAGGCCTGAGAAAAACCCTCTTTTCTAGAAATCAGAATCTGTGCATCCTTGAAATGTAGCTGACACTAACCAGGCACCATTCCAGAGAAAGCTAGTTGGCACTTGAAAGATAAAAGCAGCTCAAACAAAGGGCAATTCATACCTTCCCACCCCCTCCTTCACCCTTTGTCATCCTTCTCAGCATCTTCTTTGGTATGTAGGCAGGAAAGGTTACACCATTGTAACTTTTCACTTCTGTAACCTATTGGAAAGTGTTCACTGTGTTATGTGTAAACCTTTGATGATCAATATAGAAAAGAGCCAACTAAAGATTGCTCAGTTGCTCAACTTGGTAGCCAGTTATTCTTGAGAATATATCCTTTGAAAGAAAATCTTCCCCTGTTGTGTATTTTGGGCATAAATAAGCCAGGACATGGACCATTTGGTAAACAATTTCCCACAGTATTGTACCCAAGCCGTAAGGTTCCTTCATTGGACTATGTGGTCCTGAGAATGAGATGCTGATAATCAGCCTGTGACTCTGAGTTAACTATAAAGCAATAAAATTTATTAGTACAAAAAGTGTATTGGTTTTAAGATAGTCTGTAACTTTTTCTTAGTAAATGAAACAATCTATGGGTACTGAGATATCACACTCTTTCTTTCTCAATCACTCCTCACTCTCAGATACTCATTTGCTCTCAGGTTCCTGACAGCTTCTCTATCATGTACCCATGTGGGTTTGTCAGTGTTGTTGTTGTTGTTATTCACATTTCTATACCTCCTGTAGCTAAAACTCTGAGAGGTTTACAACTATAAGATACAATAGATAAAAACAATAAGCAAGAATTAAAAATTAATTTTAAATAGCATAAAATATTAAAATGATAAGACAGTAAAAAAGGACTATCTAAAAAGAGACAATTAAAGACCTGGCCAATTAAAGATGTGGCTAATGTAAATTCCCTGAAAACATTTGTTCATTTGATAGGAACATTATGCACACATGCAAACACCCACCCACAAATAAATACATAGAAACATACAACAAACAGAGTGAGTCAGAAGGGGGCTCCTGAGCCATCTAGCTCCAGCCAGCTCCACTCACGACATGCCCACCATGTGCATGTCTAGCCTATCCATGAACACCCTCACCAATGGGGCCTCAACCACCTCCTGTGGAAGCCCATTCCACACCCTCGGGGTCCTGACTGTCAGGAAGTGCTTCCTGGCATCCAAATGGAAACTTGGCTCCCTGAGCTTTGCTCCGTTGGAGCATTTCCTGCCTTCCTCTGCAGGGGAGAACAGGTCTCAACCCATCTCCATGTGACATCCCCTCACGTACAATCAAATGGTATTCAAGAGTGAGCTGTGGGGGTAGTGATTACAATGCTAGTTACATGAAGAAGCAAATCTCACTTTTTCAGTGTGTTTACAGTCACACTGTAAAGATCCATACAAAGATCATTCTTAATTTCACTGAAGTCAATGCAGTATTCTATAGCCAAGTGGTGAAGACCCATTGATTTTAGTAAGATTGATTTGCATGTAACTTCTTCTCAATTGCATTTAGAGGAAATGAAGCCATTTTGTGTAATGAATTTGTTCCCCTAAATAGAAGAATAATGCAAATACTGAACTCCCTCCTCTGATAACACTGGTCATTTGCAGTACTCATTCTGGGCAAGTGCCTCTGCTTTCCC